CAGGCAATCCACTCACCTCAGCCTCCCAAAGGCGCGGGGTTACAGGCTGAGCCACTGAGCCCGGCTTGTTTATTTCCTTTTGATAAACCTATAGATGTATAGTTGCTGAGTCAAAACTTTTTTTGTGTGTGTGAGTGCAGTGACATGATCATGGCTACTGCAGCCCCGACCTGCTGGATTTAGGCCATCCTTCTGCCTCAGCCTCCTGAGTAGCCGGGGCTACAGATGCATGCCATCATGTCCAGCTAATTTTTTAATTTATTGTAGAGGTCTTGCCTTGCTGCCTAGGCTGGTTTCAGACTCCTGGGCTTAGGCAGTACTCTCACCTCAGCCTCCCAAAGTACTGAAATTACAGGCATGAGCCACCATGTCCAGCCCTAGTCAAAACATTTTTAAGGCTTTTGGTACACATGCACCACATTCAACTATCTCTTAGAATGGGTCTTTTTTTTTGTTTTTTGAGTTGGAGTCTCACTCTGCTGTCCAGGGTGGAGTGCAGTGGCACGCTCATGGCCACCTCAGTCTTTACCTGCTGGGCTCAGGTAATCCTTCTGCCTCAGCCTTCCAAGTAGCTGGAACTAGAGGACCTTGCCACCATGCCCGGCTAATTTTTTTTCTTTTTTTATTCTTTGTAGAGGTCTCGTCAAGTTGCCCAGGCTGTTCTCTAACCCATGGGCTCAGGCAATCCTCTCACCTTGGCCTCCCAAGTGCTGAGATGACAGGCTTCAGTCACCTCACCCAACAAGGATAGGTCACTTTTGCATGAGCAGACCTCATTCATTTAATGTTGATTTTTGGTATCTTTAGAATTTCTGCTGTTTTCTTCTTGCCTCCTACCCCAAAATCTGGGTGGCATTGTGAAAACAAAAACGTTAAGGCCAGGCACCGTGACTCACACCTGTAATCCCAGCACTTTGGGAGGCCAAGGTGAGAGGATTGCCTGAGCCCATGGGTTTGAGATCAGCCTGGGGAACTTTGCAAGACGTCACCTCTACAATAAATCAAAAGATTAGCCAGATGTGTTGGCACATGCCTGTAGTTCCGCTACTTGGAGGGCTAAGGCAGAAGGATCACCTGAGTGCAGCAGGTCGAAGCTGTGGTGGCAGCCTTGGCAACAGAGTGAGACTCCAACTGAAAAAAAAAAAAAAAAACCCAAAAAGTACGCAAAATGCACTTGTTTTCTACTGTTTAAACCTTATCAAGAAAAACACTGAAATGCTCTGACGTGGTCCTTCCGTATGGAGGCCTGGTTGCTGAAGAGATGAACATCCTGTAGATTTCCCCTATCAGATGACCTGGTGGTGGGTTTGTTCAGTGATGTTCTTCACCTGCTGGGCAGGCACTTGAGCAGCAGGTGCCGATTTAGGAATCTGCCCAGCACCTGAAATAGCTGGCTAAGCTGTCCTTAGAAGCTGATGGCCTGGATTAGATGCTTTGGGTCTTATTTTTATGGCATGGTTTTTGTTTTGTCATCAAGAATACTTATATAGACTTTAAAATGTATTTTGATAGGAATATGGTATCTCTTTAAGGTCTTAAATTTTATACAGATGTTTTCTTTTCTTTTCTTTTCTTTTTTTTTGAGTTGGAGTCTCTCACTCTGTCGCCCAGACTGGAGTGCAGTGGCACACTCATAGGCATGCAGCCTCGAACTGCTAGGTTCAGGCCATCCTTCTGCCTCAGCCTTCCAAGTAGCTGGAACTACAGGCGTGTGCCTCTATATACCTGAATGATTTTTTGATTTGTTGTAGAGATGAGGTCTCACCAAGTTGCCCAGGCTGGTCTCGAACCCGCAGGCTCAGGCAGTTCACTCACCTCGGCCTCCCAAAGTGCTGGGATTACAGGCTGAGCCACCGAGCCCGGCTTAGATGTTTTCAAAATTCAGTATTTTCCCACCTGTTTTGCCAGGTTCACTTGGGTTCTTGTCCTCAACAAATTTAATCTTCATCAGCTGATGGTTATTTTTTGAAGTGTTAGAGAGTACCAAGATGGTGCAAGTTAATATGTTTTCTATGTACACAGTGTGGAGAAGATATAAGACTTATTTGAAATGCTTAAAGAAATTTGGATAAGACAGGTATAATGTGCGTATAATAACTTGCATAATGCTTATATGCATATACTACCATGAGTCTTACTCCTGGGCCCAGGTTATTCTCTCATCTCAGCTTCCCAAATTGCTGGGATTAGAGACATGAGCCACTGCACCCAGCCACGACAAACATTTTTTTGTTTTTTTTGAGTTGGAGTCTCACTCTGTCGCCCAGACTGGAGGGCAGTGGCCACTCCCGGCCACCACAGCCTCGACCTGCTGGGCTCCGGTGATCCTTCCACCTCAGCCTTCCAAGTAGCCGGAACTACAGGCATTCACTACCATGCCCGGCTGATTTTTTGATTTATTGTAGAGATGAGGTCTCGCTGCCCAGGCGGTTCTCGAACCCGTGGGCTCAGGCAATCCACAATCCACTCACCTCAGCCTCCCAAAGGCATGGGATTATAGGCTGAGCCACCGAGCCTGGCTAACATTTTTTAAATATTGGTATTTGGGTGAAAATTCCTACTAGAATTGAAGTTTCAAGAGAGTAGGAACCATATCTGTTTTCTTTTTTTTTTTTTTTGAGTTGGAGTCT